GCTTGTTCTGGAGTCAGGTCTCAGGGGCAGCAGCTTGAGCAGGGAGGTCCAGACTTCTCTTTCCACAACCACCTCTTCCAGCTTGGGAGGACTCCAAGGTGTTCCCAGAGCAACTGAGAGACATGCCCAGTAGCACATGCCTGGAACACCTCTCTAGGGAGGTGTCCACCAGGAGAGATGCCTGAACCACCTCAACTGGTTCCTCTACTCTTTGGAGAAAACTCATTTCATCCTCCTGTATGTACAATTTTTGGTCACTGCCCAGAGTTTGTGACCATAGATGAGAGTAGGATCGTAGACTGACAGACAGAGAGCTTCACCTTGAAGCTCAGCTCCTCTTCACCACAACACACCGGCATAAAGTCCAAAATACTGCGGAAGCTGTGCTGATCCGTCTGTCCATCTCACACATCTTTATTCCATCACTGGTGAACAAAACCCCCGACATATGTCACCTCTTTCACCTGAGGCAGTACTTCACTCCCATCCTGGAGAGGGCAGCAGTAAATGGTTCATGGCAGGTCCAAACTTAACAAATTTGTTAAAAATTCTTGTTGCACTTTTCCAAGGCCTACACTGTCTTTCAACCCAACCACCCAAAATAACAAACTATTTAATAAACTTTATTTACAAGTGACAAAGATAATCAGTCATAGAATTAAAAAGATTTTGATGAATTTAACTTCTGACTAAAGGAATGATGGAAGAAGTTTCTCCTTTCTCTTTGGTTGCCAACATTTCCTGATTTTATTGTTTTTGTTGCAGCGCTAAAGAAGTGCAGAGCAAAGATGGAGAATTTCTCAAAAATGTGTTAAACATCCTCCATACAGACTCGTTTTCTGTACCTTCATCCTGATCAGCCTCAGTCAGCAGGTGAGACGTGGAGTCCCCCCTGGACATGTCTCCGGTCCTTCAGAGGAGACAGACAAACACTCATGTCTAAGATCTATTGAAGCTGTCCATTCATCGTAACATGAGAGTTGTTGGGCTGTGGAGGAAAAGCAGAGAAAACGTCTCAGATTCAAACCAAAGCTGTGAGACAAACGTCAAAATAAAATAGTCAATAAAACAAAAGTCTTCCCGTGCAATGCTTAGATCAAAAGAGCAGGATGTTTTATTGTTATAATGATGAAACTGGGGTTTTTATTTACCGGTAGTTTGTTTGCTGTTGTTATTTTTCTCAACGTAACACAAAAAGTTTGCAACAAACACGACATGAGCCCAGAGTTGAAGACTCGGAGTGTCTGGCTGTTTCACCACCAGATGGTGACAAGGCTTCATTCTACAACATTATCATCCTGCTGTGTCTAATGAAGGTGCAAATATATTCTGCTTGTGCTGTTACTACAGCTAGAGGAGGAGATAAAAACCCTGAGAGTCTGGAAACACACGTCGTGCATGAAAATAGTTGTTTAATAATTTATGGAATTATAAAACATGACAATCATAATTAAAAACAGGGTTATTTTTTGCTTTACCGTACCATTTTATTTATAGAGCACTTAAAACAGCAACAAGACCGACCAAAGTGTTGTACAGCAGAAACAAACACGTGAAGCACACAGTAAAATATACATAGATCCAAAAGGATCTACATAAAGTAATGAGTATAAATTACACTGTAGAATACAGACACGTTAAAAACAAATTACCCAGTGTCAAGAGCCGGGAATAAAAGAGGGTTTTTAAGCGAGACTTTAAAACCGTGCTTATAAATGGTCTGTACTTGTATAGCACCTTTCTATCTTGTCAAGACACTCACAGCACTTTACAACACAATCTGTGCCTCATTTACCCATTCATACAGACTCTACTAGATCTCTACAAAGCTAATTGAACAAATCATTCTAATGAGATTAACCAGAGCTTTATCACATTCATGCACTGATGGGACACACATCAGAGGCTATGAGGGGTTCAGAGTCTTGTCCGGGGACACTTCATGGGTGTTTATAAGCATATTACTAAATTATGTCTTATTTATTATGTTTTAAGTATTTCACTTTACTATTATCTGTGGGAAGTGGTGGCGCAGAGGTTAAAGGTGAGCCTGTGATCAGAAGGTTGCTGGTTCAACTTCCCGGACCGACAACACAAATTGTGAGTGGGAAAGGTGAAACACCCGCATCTGCTTCTACCCTCATTTGCTCCACTCTCAGCCCTTGAGCAAGGTCACTAACCCCAACCGTCTGCTTTCCCGGGCGTCCTAGATGGCAGCTCTGCTCCACACAGAGGGCTGTGGTAGCTCGGTGGTCTGTGGTTGTCAGGAAGGACATCCGGTGTAAAAACAAGTGCCAAGTCTTTGTGCGAGTTAGTTCACTGTGGCGATCCCTGAAGAAGGGAGCAGCTGAAAGAAGAAAAAAAAATCTTTAACCACGCATCGTGTACTTATACACACCTATGTAAGTACATGTTTACAGTCATGCACAAAGTATGCACAATCACTTCCATTAGTATACACCCCAGTTTTAGTACTCTATTACTACTACTCATAGGCGTCGTAACAATTATATGTGAAGGGGATGTGTCCCCCTCACATTAAAAAAAATATTTGTTTGGACCCCCCCCCCCCCCCCACACACACACACACACACACACACACACATTTACTATGAAATATTAGTTCACCCAGTGCTGTTTCTACAAAGTATTTATTCATGAACAAATCCATTCCACTTGATTAAAAGGGGATTAGTCAAACCACTTGTGCCGTGCTCTCTAAAACGGTTATTGACTCAGTGTTTACCGATGTAGGTAAACATGGATGGTTTAAAAACCTGTTAAAATTCTTGATCCCATTGAGCCTCGGGGACTCATTTGTAAGAGAGACCTGGTTAGTAAATGTAAATAAATCAGTAAATGTATCAAAGGGCAAAGTAAATTTAAGCTACGCCTATAGTGTTTTAGTTTTAAAAAGTGATTAAAATCTGATTTAAAAAATGCAGACCAATTAAAAACAGTAGGTTCTGATAGAATTTACTTTGCTGCATCAACGTCAAAATGAAAATGCATAAAACACCACTGCATCAGTTACTAAATAACTTGAATATTTTTCAAATCCCGGTAATCCAGAAACTACCGGTAGTAGTACTAAAACAAACAAACAATCAAAAAAAAAAAACAGAAAAGATGCTTATGTGAATTAACATATGCTTCAAATTACAAATTAAAACTTTACAGATATGTGTGTGCACCTTATTGGAAATAAGGAAAATAATAAAATACACCAGAATGCAGGAAATGGCATCTACTTTATTCAAAATTTTATGGGGAGGCCCCCCACCAGTGTGTCCCCCCTACTTTACAAATGCTGCTGACGCCAATGGCCACTACGTTGTTCCAAGCCCTATAAAGAGAGAGTTGTGACACTCTTTGAACTCGCCGATACGCGGTCACGTGGTTCATGCAGCTCCCAATAGTTCCAACCAGTTCATCCTGTCAGTCAGTTTGAGCGGCTGCTGGTGCAACATAACACAAAAATCTACTTTTCTTACTTTACCTGGCGTCTTTCAGTAATTATTGAGCAGTAACGAACAGATTACTTAACTGATTACTGATTATTTCACAGACTATGGATTTTATCAAAGCATTTTTAGAAGCGGCTGATACATTTATCATTAAAACTTAGAAGGAAACGAGACTGCAAACACATATCTGTTAGAAAATAAATATGCAATACAATGATCAATATAGCCATGTCAGTGTTTTATAACGTTACACACGATAAAAAAAGATCAGAGTAACCTGTTATAAAGCTGTTTCTGATGTTCTCTGCATGAGAATGCTCCACCTTGTCCTCCATGCAGTTCAGATCTGCTCCAGCTTACCTTAGATCATCTGGATGAATTCTTGATTTCTATAGGATATATTATATATATATATATATATATATATATATATATATAAGATATTAATTCAAGCTTTATTTAAACAGGTTAGTCCCATTGAGCCACGAGGACTCATTTACAAGAGAGACTGAATATAATTGTTGTATTTGTCATTTTTTTATGGCAACCAAGTACCTGATAACTGAGTTGATTGTAGCCTGACAACTATTGTAAAACTGTAATTCATTGATTAAAATGTTAATTTAAATGAAACTGTAAAATCATAACAGATGACAAAATAAGTGTTAATTGTGCAAAAATAAATTTCCAAACAATTTATTATCCATCCATCCATCCATCCATCCATCCATCCATTATCTTTACCCGTTTATTCCATTTTGGGTCACGGGGGTCGCTGGTGCCCATGTCCAGCAATCACTGTGCGGGGGGCGGGGTACACCCTGGACGGGTCGCAAGTCCATCACAGGGACACATAGAGACAAACAAGACAAACAACCATTCACTCTCTCACTCACACTTAGGGACAATTTAGAGTTACCAATCAGCCTAACCTGCATGGTTTTTGGTCTGTGGGAGGAAACCGGAGTACCC